GGAGTTGAGCTGGAGGAGTTGCTTGTATATTTTTGAGATTAATCCTTTGTCTGTTGCTTCGTTTGCTATTATTTTCTCCCAATCTGAGGGCAGTCTTTTCACCTTGCTTATAGTTTCCTTTGTTGTGCAAAAGCTTTTAAGTTTCATTAGGTCCCATTTGTTTATTTTTGCTTTTATTTCTAAAATTCTGGGATGTGGGTCATAGAGGATGCTGCTGTGATTTATGTCGGAGAGTGTTTTGCCTATGTTCTCCTCTAGGAGTTTTATAGTTTCTGGTCTTACATTTAGATCTTTAATCCATCTTGAGTTTATTTTTGTGTATGGTGTTAGAAAGTGTTCTAGTTTCATTCTTTTACAGGTGGTTGACCAGTTTTCCCAGCACCACTTGTTAAAGAGGTTGTCTTTTTTCCATTGTATATCCTTGCCTCCTTTGTCAAAGATAAGGTGACCATAGGTTCGTGGATTTATCTCTGGGCTTTCTATTCTGTTCCATTGATCTATATTTCTGTCTTTGTGCCAGTACCATACTGGAGAGGGTGTGGAGAAAAGGGAACCCTCTTACACTGTTGGTGGGAATGCAAATTAGTACAGCCACTATGGAAAACAGTGTGGAGATTTCTTAAAAAGCTGGAAATAGAACTGCCATATGACCCAGCAATCCCACTTCTGGGCATACACACCGAGGAAACCAGATCTGAAAGAGACACGTGTACCCCAATGTTCATCGCAGCACTGTTTATAATAGCCAGGACATGGAAGCAACCTAGATGCCCATCAGCAGATGAATGGATGAGGAAGCTGTGGTACATATACACCATGGAATATTACTCAGCCATTAAAAAGAATTCATTTGAATCAGTTCTAATGAGATGGATGAAACTGGAGCCCATTATACAGAGCGAAGTAAGCCAGAAAGATAAAGACCATTACAGTATACTAACACATATATATGGAATTTAGAAAGATGGTAACGATAACTCTATGTGCAAAACAGAAAAAGAGACTCCTATGTATAGAACAGACTTGTGGACTCTGGGAGAAGGCGAGGGTGGGATGTTTCAAGAGAACAGCATTGAAACACGTATATTATCTAGGGTGAAACAGTTCACCAGCCCAGGTTGGGTGCATGAGACAAGTGCTCAGGCCTGGTGCACTGGGAAGACCCAGAGGGATTGGGTGGAGAGGGAGGTGGGAGGGGGGACCGGGATGGGGAATACATGTAAAAAAAAAAAAAAAAGATACACTATGGTTGTGATAAAAAAAAAATAAATAAATAAATAAATAAATTTAAAAAAAAAAAGAAAAATACGTATATGACTTCCAACTTGAAATGGTAAAATTGAGAGTTATCAGCATAGAGGCTGATATTTAAGGCCATAAGTGATTCACTTCAGTAGAGAAAGTGGAGATGGGAAGAGGACATAGTATCAAATCTTCAGCCACTCCAGAAATTTGATGAAAAGTAAAGAGTCTAAAAACAAAACTAAGAAGAAGTTATCAGAAAGCTAGAAGAAAAATAAGGAGAGCTTTAGACAATATAGGGGGGATGAGATATCTTCATGATACCAGGAAAGTTTTAGAGAATCTAGAAATCAGAAAATATAAAAAAATGTTTTTCAAGGATAAACGATCAACTGTTAAATGCCGTTGAAAGTTCAAGAAAGATTAGAACAGAAAAAAAGTTGTCCTTTATACTTAAACCATCATAGAAGTTTTTGTCAGGGAGAGCTTCAACAGGTGAGTGAGAACAGTAGAGTTAAAGTCCATATATAAATGAAAATGGTAAATTGACGAGTTAATAAATGGTGAATAAAACAACATAGTACAGGGAGACAACTTTCTCAATAGTTTCCATTCTAAAATTGAATAGGAAAAATAGAATGATAACTAGAGGGCAATGAGGGTCAAGGAAATGTGGTTCTTGCATTGATAGTGGTAGAGGTGGTTATGGTTGTTTAAACATGGTTGTGAATGATCCAGTAGAGAGGGATGATAAAAGAGAAAGCTAAGATAATCACAGAAGCAAAGCTACAAGGGGGTCTGGCCAAAGCATGTGTGAAGAATTGCAGGGTAGAAGAAGATGCATGAATATACAGACAAGTTTATATATTTGGTTATGGAAACATGAGAACACTTCTGTCACTTGACTTCTATTAATATTTTTCCTATGATGAATAAGATGAATTATATAGTCTTGAAATAAAATATATATACAAAGAAGGCTTTCCTGTACTTTCTATGTTAAGTGTCCAGTGGATGTTGAGGAGTGTGAAAAAGTACCTTGCTGTCTTTTCCCTATTCATTACTAAATTATATGGCTATTTAAACATAATACCATTGATGGAATTAAAGAGATAAGATAAACTCCTTGTTTGCCATATCAAATATAATGAAAAAAAAAAACACCCTAACATCGTTCTTACTCTGTCAGGTATTGTTCTAATAATAATATATACCTTGTTGGGCTTCTTTATCTTAAGCCACTTAATGCAGTTAGAATCCTATAAACTGGGAACCCTATAAATTGGGTATTACTATATCCATTCACAGTTGTCATACTGAAGTCCAAAGAAGTAAATAACTTGCCTACACCTAGTAAATCCTTGGTGGCTCAGACAGTAAAGTATCTGCTCGCAATGCAGGAGACTTGGGTTTGATCCCTGGGTCAGGAAGATCCCACTCCAGTATGCTTGCCTGGAGAATTCCAAGGACAGAGGCGCCTGGCAGGCTAAGGTTCATGGAGTCACAAAGAGTCAGACATGACTGAGCCAGTAACACATGCACACAATTTCACAGGCTAGAAGTGAGAGGATTACTACAACTATTTGGGGGAAGGAGAGGAAATTTCCAGAAACTGGGCCACCACTCACTTTTTGGCCTTTTATGATCAGCCTCAGAATGGTCATGGTGCCTGTGGGAGTGTCTTTTAGCTTACTGATGTATTACAGTGAAGGTATAATGAGGCTCAAGGTCTGCTGGAAGTTGAATCTTCAGCCATCTTGGGCCTAGTAGGTTCTAACCAGTTTTTATGTTTCCTCATGAGCTATGTCATTCTTTTAAATATTGTTCCCTGCCCTTTTCTCTCTTGTGATAGACTTGCAATTGGTGTCCAGAGAGGGAAGGGGGCAGACAGCCTGGTAGGACTGAGCTCATAACCTGTGGGATCTGATCCTATCTCTGGGTGGATAGTGCTAGAATTAAGTTGAATTGTAGGACACCCAGCTGTTGTCAAGAGTATTGCTTAGGAGTATTGGAAAACTCCACCACACACAAATCAGAATTGGTAACCAGAACCTTTAGGATCATTGTGTTTTCTAGGCTTGACCTTTAGCTCTTGGCCAACTTTCTCATGTCAAGCTATCCACATAAAATTAAATTTATGCGTAAGCGTGCCTTTTTTATAGTCATTCCAGACCATACGCTGTTTGCTCTAGACTTGAAGTTCTGGCTTTCATCCATCTGAGTCTCTAGTGCCTTGCTATGTACTCAAACTCGTAATACTTGTTTCTGGACACTTTGGCTTTGTATCCTGGTGGATTACCTTTTCCACTTGCTAGCTCTAGAATCTGCTTCCTTTTCTAATGTTAATATTCCTGAGGCCATTAGTGATAATCCTACCTGTCCACTTCTTTCCTACTACCTGACTAGCCCACAGGCTCTGCCGTTCTTCATGGCCACCTTAACTTCCATAAATGCTCCACCATAAAATTTGGCATTATGACATATGAAACTTTAAAAGAATCTTCTATTATAAGATTAAAAGATTAGAAAAGATAGAACCCTCATAGATGAGAGTTAGCAGCAATGCAGTTTTAATAGAGAGCGGTAATCAATCAATCATGGGAAACATTTTTTCTGAAGATTAATCAACATTTTTTTCACCTGTATTTGCCACCTGAGCCTCACTTCGTCCACTGGCTTTTCAGAAAATAAATGAACAATAATGTGATTCATTTAGATTGTTATATTGGATGGGTTGGCTATGATAAAAAAAAATAAACCCAGAAATGTATGTTGATCAAACGTAATTGCCTTTTATTTCTGGCTTCCATAAGAGTCCAAGTTGGATAATCCTGTTAACTGAGTACTTTTTTGAAAAATCAGGGATTCAGGGAGCCAGAATCTGTTGATCTACCATCTTCTAGCACTTTATCCTCATCTCTATGCAGTGGGTCAGAAGCAGAAAGAAAATACAGAAGAAACACATTTGTGTTTTAAGAGTCTTGATCCAGATATTACCCATATAACTTCTATGCACACTGTCCTGGAGAAGACTTAATCTCACGGCCACACATAAGAATAGAGGAAGCTGAGAGATTTTGTTTCTTTGCGTGTTCAATGAAGAGAAAAACAATTTTGATGGCAGCTATTAGTTCTCACTAGAGTTAAGAAAAATGAGGTAAAATGAATTACAAGTCTTTTACAAATGTGAGATAATAATTATTGTTGTTTAGTAGCTAAATTGCATCTGATTTTTTGTAATCCCACAGATGGCACCCTGCCGTATTCCTTTATCTATGGAATTCTCCAGGCAAGAATACTAGAGTGGGTTGCCATTTCCTTCTCCATAGGGTCTTTCTGACCCAGGGATTGAACCCACATCTCCTGCATTGCAGGTAGATTCTTGTACTACTGAGCTACCAGGGAATCCCAAGATAATAATAACTATATGTAAAAATGATGTGTATAATTACATACTTAATATAAGATAAAATGCTGCTACTGACTCAGTGCAAGTTAAATAATTGTGAGAAATAATAAAGGAAATACAGTAATCTGTGTATTCCTTTGTTAAAATGTTCCAATAGTGATTTTTCTCTCCAAAATCGCGATTAAATCACAAACTGAAAAGGAATATCAGTTGGGAAAATGTTTCTTAATAAGGTAAATAGTAGGTTCTTGTCAAATTTATTAATGTAGCTTTCAAAACAATTGGGACAGAAAATAAACTGTGCTTAACACTTGTGTAATGGATTATATTTGTCTGCTGTGTGATGTAGGTCAGAAAGAGGCTGAAGATGAAACTGAGGATGAAGAATTGGATGTCAGTTTTAGGATATCAGTGTTGAAACTACCCATACATACTTTAGATTCATTGAGATATGCTGCACTATTGAGAGCAAAAGAACAAGATTATTTTCCTACATATGCCCAGGCATTTTCTCCTGCTCATCAAAAACCAGTAGTTAAAATAAAAGACATGCTGATGGAAAAGAGAATAAGAAGAGAGTTTTTGGCAACACACAGAGCTGGTATGAAACTCCAAGCACTTTGTGATGTTGATAAATATTTCTCAGAACAAAAGAAGCAGGAAAGCAGTAAAAATAAAGTAACAGCTGTAAGCATGGCACAAAAGGCCCAAGAACGAATTAGAATAACTACTAGAGAAAATTTAAATAATAAAATATATGCTACACATAAACTGACTGCAAGAGATGATGAGATAATTCAGGATGGTTTACAACAACTTTATCAGGATAGATCCAGCTACCTTGAGAAAGTTAAAGAGAGAAGAGCTCAGTTCCTGGAAGAAAAAAAACAAAAGGCTAAAGACCGTTTATTAATTCAGAACCTAAATAATGAGCGCACTCTTTTGACCAGAGGAATGACTACAATTGACAGATTGAAGAGTAAGCAAGCTGCCTTGAAAGAGAAAAGTCTGATTGTTCAGCAAAAACTGGCAACTGAAAAGTACCAAAGGGATTTACTTAAACAAATGAAGGAAATTAGGTAGGTACAGTTTTTATATAATAGTAGCTTTTAAGTTGTCAGGGAGGAAGAAATTTGCCTCTGCCTTCTAGGTTCTCCTGGCTGGTTTAAGAATTAAATTGATAAAAGACAGAGTAATGAGAGAGAATCAAACAAAAGTTTAATAACATCTATACACGGGAGGGACCCAGAAAAACTGAGTACCCCCCACTCCCCAGCCCCTGCAAATAGCTGAAGCCATCACCATAAATACCATCTTCAGCAAAATATAAAAGGAGATATTGGGGACAGAGAACCAATTATGAGAGGTTACAAGGGAAAGCACAGTAAAAAAGGTAAGGTCGACATCTCAGTCATTGTCTTCTCCATCAAGTTTCTAGAGGTTTGGTCATCCACCTCTTCCTCAACTTACAGTTGTAGGAAAGCTCAGAGAGATGGAAAGACACACATAATACTAAAGGGCACACTAGACCGGACCCCAGTAGTTTTTTAACCCTTTTTTACCCTTGTGTGTTCTTCACACAGGTTGGTTGGTTTGTTTGTTTTTTCTGATATTAGATTGAGGCTTGTCAGCCACAGTTTTATCCAGGTAATATTTTAAGTGGTCAGAACATAAATACATATGTTTAAGACTTATCTGGAAATACATAAAGATCATGAAAGTGAAAAGTGAAAGTGTTAGTCCTTCAGTCACGTCTGATTCCTTGCGACTCCACAGACTGTAGCCCGCCAGACTCCTCTCTCCAGGGGATTCCCCAGGCAAGAATACTGGAGTGAGTTGCCATTTTCTTCTCCAGGGAAACTTCTTGACCCAGAGATCAAACCCCAAGTCTCCTGCATAACTGCTTATTTCATTTACATTTTTAATGCTATTGTTTTAAAAAGTAGTCTGTACTGGAAAAAAGTACAAAATAAAAAGAAAGCATTTGTCTTTTCCTAGTTATAAGCAAATTTAAAACTATTTACTGAGGTACTTTATATAACAGCTTTTTAAGTATGAAAAAATATTTTATATTTTCTCCTCCAAAATTTCCAAATATTTTCCTTAATGTATACCATGTTGGGGAGGGGGAGAAAGATTTTGGAAATAAATTTTTGTAATTTAATAGAAAATATATTTTGGAGGAGCGAATGAAAAGAAAAGGAAAGCTAGTCTATTATATCAAAATACAAGTCTAGCCCATATCAGTGTTAAAGAAAATTTAATCAATTTAGTTTTATTACAGCAAATTGAATATCTGGCCATCATTAATTTGTAGAAGATACAGAGTCAAGAAAGCTTCCTGATGTGTATTAACTGAATTATCTTTTCTTGTAAGCTGCTGCAAAGATATCCTTGAAAGCACACAGGAGTAAGGCAATGTTCTGATTATGTCAGTAATGTTTCCTAAAAGGCATTATGAGTCATCTTATAAATATTTTCAAATAAAGATTGAGTATCAATGTGCAGAAAAGAGCTGTGACTCAAAAAAAGTAAAATCTGTGTAAAGACTTCAGAAGTTTTTCACTTCTTTTTTTGCCAGTTGAGTCTTCATTAATGTATCAAACACCACTAAAAGCATTCTAATGAATCTCAATAGCTGGCAAAGTCATTACTGAGAATATAGCTTCATGATCCTGTTCTGGAATGAGGAAAAAGGGGAACTGTAAAGCTCTAGTTTAGGAAGTTGATAAAATACCCACAGGAGTGTTTAAGAATGAATTTAAGAGTCTTTAAAATAAAAGAAGTTCTATATCAGGTAAAAACCTGGTCGTAAGTTTCCCGAAATATTCTTGTCCCTACTCTAAAAAAAAGTGGTGACACTGCTCAGGGCAGAACAGTATTGTACCCATTTTAGACTAGAGTATCATTTAGCTTGGAAGATCTGGCAGCTAAGGCAGTTATCCAGTTACATCATATTCTTGTCCTTAATTTTTGTCATCAGTTGACTTCCTGTCATTCCCTGTAGTCTTTCTATGTTTATGCATGAAGCTTTCCTTTATCCAACTTCTGCCTTAATCACAGTTAACTTTGGAATTCATAAGAGCAACTCTCTCAATTGCCTAACCTAAACATTTTTGAATCCCACTAGCCTCTTAACTTATTTCCACAATCATAGAAGTGCCCCCTTGTCTCTTGGAACTGCCCCACCTCTTAAATTTTAAATTCCTGTATATTTATCTATGACTAAAATCTTTTATATTTTCAATTCTTTTTTTCCTTTCCTTTCCCCGCATGTATTCTTCAAATATATTATGACACTCATCCCTCAAATAAACCTTCTTATAGACTTTCTAATATAGCTTCTGGATTCCTACATTGAATTCTTTTTTCCGTTTCATCCAGCGTCTCTGATATCCTTTCCTTTCATTGCCTCCACCATGCTAACCACCTCAGCCCCTACGCTGGGACAGTCCGATTATGTTTCTTCATTTTTTGTACTCAGGTAAAAATGGCTGGAAGGCATCAGTGACTTGTATATTTATGCTGATTTCAATTCTGTGGCATCCATCTTTAGCAGTTCTCTCAAGTTCTTGCTCTTTCTCTCATTATCTACAAAAACATTTCAAACTTCATCAGCTATAGAGTTTCCTATGCAAATGTCACTTCTGACCTTTCCTCCACAGCAAGTCACTCACTTTATCCCAAAGGAATTTTAGTCCTTCAAGCTTGAATTTGTTTCACTTTTTCTTGCACTGTCTATGAAATTCTGTGTGCATGCGTGCTAAGTCACTTCAGTTGTATCACAACTCTTTGTGACCCTATGGACTGTAGCCCTCCTGGCTTATCTGTCCACAGGATTCTCCAGGCAAGAATACTGGAATGGGTTGCCATGCCCTCTGCCAGGGGATCTTTCCAACCCAGGGGTCAAACCCATATCTCTTAAGTCTCCTGCATTAGCAAACAGGTTCTTTACCACTGGCATCACCTGGGAAGCCCATAAGATTCTACATATCCTATATTTATCATTTCATTTTCTATTGTCTCAAGATTAGGTTCCTATTTTCCTGTTTAAAACTGATAATTCCTCTATTTTTGCTCTTAGTTAGTCTTGAAATGGGTAATGCAAGACCTCTGTGCTAGGCGGAATTATGGTCCTCAAGAAGATACCATGCCCTGATCCCTAGGACTATCTAATAGGATAAGATACTGGAGTGGGTAGCTATTCTCTTCTCCAGGGGATCTTCCCAACCCAGCTCTCCTGCATTGCAGGCAGATTCTTTACCATCTGAGCCACCAGGGAAGTCCACTGTTGGGGGAGGAGATGGAATTTCCTCTCTCCCCATTAGTTCCTTTTGGCTGGCAATTAAAATGGCATAAGACAGATTGACAGGAGAAAATCAAATTACATGTACAAAGGGAATTCACATAAGTATGAGGAATTCCAAAGACATCAAGGCAGATAAACGATAACTTGCCTTGATGTCTTTGGAAATCTTCATATATATGTGTGTGCCCACACACACACACTAGACTGAGGAGAAGAAGGTAGGGGTCTGAGGTTTCAAGGAAGTAAGGTTATTCACAGGAAGAGCCAAAAGAGTTAATGTTTGATAAAAAAAAAAAAATGTTGCAGGGCCATCCAAAAACAATAGTTGCAGAGTAAATTTTGATCAAATGGGCTTTGCTAGGTTCCTCCCTGTCTACAATATCTAACACTTTATTGTAGCTATCTATGGTGACAGCTTCTTTCTGGAACATACCCTCAATTTTAAATTCTTTTAGGCAGTAAGGGGAAAGTTCAAAGATTCCTTTGGGCCTAGATGGTTTTTAGCTTAAAATAATTCTCATAGCAGAGTGGCACATCTTGGGGAAACCTGGGTTTGCCCCCATCAATACTACACTTGGGGATGTGCTACCTTATGGGGTAAAGGGACTCTGCACCTGTAATTGAGGTTTGACCTTAAAATAGGAAGATTATTCTGGATTATTCAGGTGGGCCCAATATAGCTCATGAGTCTTTAAACACAGAAGCAGAAGAGAAAGTCAAGAGACTCAAAGTAGAAGGAAAAGTTGACACGACATTGCTGGCTTGAAGATGAGAGGTGTCATGTAGAAGAGTGAGAAGGAAATGAATTCTGACAACTAGCCATCTCGGAAAGAGGGCCCCAAGACCTGGATGAGAACCATGGCCGTGGCTAACGCCTTATTAAATGTCGGGTGCACCAGGATTTTAAGTGCATTAACTCATTCAGTCCTTCACTAAATCCTGTGAGTTGAATTGCTCCCTTGTAAAAGATGAAGAAAATGAGGTAGGGAGACCTTGAGTACTATTCAAACTCATGTGGTCAATAAGTTGCAGACTTTCTAGACCTAGGCCTCTCTCCACTCCCCGAATCTACATTTCTGAGTGTCCCTAAAGACAGATACGTGTGTAATATATGTGTTTCATTTATATATTCACATACCTTTATTTCTCTTTGCCTTCTATAAGTGTCTCATAATTATACCTTATTTCTCTTTGTTTCAAGCATCTAGGGATAGTACCAAACATTATAGCATATAACTCTTGAATGAATGAGGATTAATGAACTAATTCTCCTAAGGCCTATGGCATTTCTCAGGTTTGCCTGAGTAATCTGGTTCACATTTCTCTAACATAGTAAGAGCCTTTATTGATCTGCTAGGGCTACCATAGCAAAATACCACATATTAGGTTATTTAAGCAACAGAAATTTGTTTTCTCAAGTCATGGAGAGTAGAAGTCCAAGATGAAGATGTTTTTAGGTTTGACTTCCCCTGAGGCCTTTCTCCTTGGTTTGAAGATGGCAACCTTCTCACTGTGTCCTCACATAACTTTTGTTTTATGTGTGTGTATCATTGATGTCCCCTCACATTCTTAGAAGGACACCTCCAAAAGACCTGTCTCCAAATACAGTCACATTCTAAGGTACTGTGGGTTAGTATTTCAACATGTGAATTTGTGGAGTAGTGTCCACAGATAGAGTCCTGGATAGACCTTGGATTTAGTGAGGCTTAGGTAAAAGTTCTGCAAATCATGGCAGAGCCTGGTTTAGATGCCACTTTGGGAGTCTAAGCCAGTGTTTTTAAGAATTCTCAGTTACAGCTAATAGAAAACTTAGAAATATTAGCCAGAGATGAATATTATTTAATGATATGATAAAATTTTATGCAGTAAGTGGAGCTTTATCTTTCTCCCATTTGTATGTATATATTTTGAAGGCATCTAATTATAGTTACAGTTTGATTGATTGTTATGGTTTTAGCTATTTAAAAGTATCTCATTCTGTTACCTTTGTTCTTCTTAGGGCTCAAGAAATACATAAAAGACACTGTGAAGAAAAGTTTGTTAATGATATGATTGCCTATCAGAAAGCTTGTGAAAGACTTCAAGATGCTAGAACAAAAGCTGCAATTGTGAAAAAGACTTTAGTCACTAAGGTTCCTGATGTAATGACAAAGTGAACTGAAACCGGATCACATTCTGTGGTCATTTTTAATTATGGCCATTGTTTAGTTAAAGGACTTTGAAATAATACTGTGAAAGAAGTACTCTATGTCACAAGATTGATTTGTATATATATCTTCTAAAATATAAAGAATAATTAAAATGTATCTCTTCTTGATCATAATTTAACTTAAATCAGTTTGACTTGGCACATCTAAAGATTCCTTATATATCCAGATAGCTAGGGAACAATGAAAGCTGACTTAATTTGTTGCAGGAATTATTGCAAAACCATTACTTTTATTGTTTCATATCATGAGTTCAGCAATTTGTAATCTATTTACAGCTTCTATGGCAACCTTTGAATAGTTTTTTTGGTCCCAGCTGTTGACTTTTATTCAGACACTGTGTTGTGTTTGATCAGTTTCATAGCCTGCATTCATATATTTAATTATATTTCATGTTTATTTTATTAAAACAATTTCTTTTTTCAAAATAAAAGTTTCACCATTATATCAGTGACTTGTGTTCTTATAAGAATTCAGAAAATATAAATTGAAAAGGAAAGTTACATATTTGTAATAACTTCCTAGAAGACTGTAAGATTTTGTATGTTTACTTTTGTTGTGTTAGCCTTCACTTATATAGGGAGCAGAGGAGAGTTAGCGAAAGAACACATATAATTAAGTAACTGCGATTGTGAAGTATCCAGAAATGGTATGTAATCATTCTAAGTCTATGTAATATATGGTATAGAATTTAAAATGTAAAGAACAATATAAAAATACATGAAAAGTCTTTGTAAAATTTTAGATGATTTTCAATAGTATTTTCAATCTAGAAAAATAAATGTCTCACTGTTATTATGACATTGTTCACTTTATGCAGTAGAGCTAATGCCATTCAAAATTTCTCTTTACTGCTCATCAGTTATATATGCAGGGTTTTGTGTTTCTTTTTTAAAATTCTCTAATTTTCTTAATCTATGCTAAAGTTCCAGAAATTAAGTATTTTACAACAGCAGTTATTCATTGTGCTTCTTTGCTGGACTGCTAAAAATTCCTAGTAGCATTTCCCTAAATTTCTGTAAAATCATAACTGTCTATTTAAATCCATGGCACCAGCTCTCTGTTTTTTTTTTTAATTTGCAGATAGCTAATGAGCAAGTCATATTGGTATTTTTAATTATCCTTCAAAAAGAACAAAGGGGGATACTGTGAAGTGGTAAAAGTATGACAGATGTAGAGTTCCATAACAAATTAGATAATCTCTCTGTTATCCCATTTTTCTGTTCTGTATTTAGAATAATATATATCTTCCGGGGACTTAATTAAAAATAATAGTCCATGTCACATAGCATTGTTATAAGACTTGAATGAGAAAAACATAAAAAGCAACATAGAGCATTCCACAGAGTAAGCACTTAATAAAGGTAAGTGTATAGTAGTGAAGGCAGGAGTCTTTTCTGTGTAGTTATAGGAGGATTTGTCAACTATGCAAGTGAGAGTTGTGAGACACTTTATCAAGGAATGGTAGAATTTTGTATCATATATTTGAATATAATTCTTTCATTCAATAATTATTGAATATTTGTTACCCTTCCTATATGCTCCCATTCCATACTACAGACCTTTCATAACATTTATCACACAACAGGTAATCAATAACTTCCTTGATTCCCACTCAACTGTGAGCTTTTTTAAGGCAAAGACAATTTTACTCATTTTGTGTTTCTATTACTTTGTAAAACACAGATGCATATTATATTACACACAATGCTTTTTCTGTCTATAGCTCTGTTTTCCTATTTATGTGTAGTCCCAAGTCAATCTCATGACTTTTACACTGCTTACTATTTATATTTTGAAAGAATCAAAATTCTATATCTCTGGGTTATATCTTAAATTTAATATAGCTCCTATATTTCCAAATGCATGCTAAATACTTCTACTTTGAAGGCCTAAAATCTTTTAAAAATCATACATTGAAATGGAATTTATTATTTTTTTATTTGTTTCCCTCCGTCCCCAATCTTGCTTTTTATTCCATGTGCTCAACCTCCCCTAGGTTCATAACCACCTGAAGTTTCCCATATTAAAATTTTAGAACATATCTTTGACTTTTTTTCTCTTACCTCACCACATCTTACTAGATCTGAAGCCCCAGAACTTTACCTGCAAGGTCTCTTTGGCAGAGACTGGCTCACTTTTCACCAATCCCACTTTCTGTTTCTTTAGGACACAATTAGCCTATATTTTCCAACTTCCCTACTCAGGTAATTGAAGCAAAAGACTGAATTTGGGTCAGTGGAATCTGGGGAAAAGTGATTGACAGCCCTTCCAGGTACATACCATGCACTAAACTCCATGACTTTTCCTCTGCTTTTGCTATCTTGGAAAACACATGTTCAAGATGGCTGAATCATAAGATGGTTCTGGTTGGGAACCAGAGGCCTGGTTCCCAAATCACTGCTTGTAGGGTGAACAAGGACGCTCATTTTGTTCCTTGGCAAACTTTTCCACTAAAGCCAAGATAGTAAATATTTAATATTTTGTGGACCATATGATATCTGTTGCAACTGCTCAATTCCATGTTGTAAAACAAAGGCAACCATAGATAAGATGAAAAATAAATGCGTATAGTTGTGTTGCAATAAAAGCTTATTTACAAGATAGGAAGTTGGTCAGATTTGGCCTATGGGTGATAGTTTTCCATAGAGAATTAGACTTGCAGTTTTTTAGACCTTATATATGCAAGAGTGCTAAATTCTTCTAACTCAAAATAAATGCTAGACATAACAAATTTCTCAAATAAATAACTACTTGTAATGTTCCTTATACAAATAAGGCCACTCTAAAGCATTGTTACATATTAAAATTGTTTACACATGGTAATAATACTGAAGTATTTAAAAATAAATCACCACTAAAACTAATACACAAACACCAGGACAAAATTTGCTTAAATAGGAAATTGCTATACCAAAACCAAGGTTAATAGAAAGAAATAGCAGAAGTTTATGCTAAAAAAGAGGGTGATGGAAAAAAGTGGGATTGGAGCCAAGAGGTGACATACTATGAGCCCTTTCTTTGAGTAGTGAGATACTGATGGAAGAAGAAAAAGTTTCTTTTCATTCCTTCCCAGAGATTTCTTAACAGAAGCAGTAACCACCAAGGATTACAGGAGCAGCATTTCATCTTAAAAGAAAATTAAGAGGTCAGTTAGCAACTTTTCCTCCTTTTTATTTCTTAGAACCAAGAGTAAACTTGTATTTTCTGTCTGATAATCAATCCACTAGTCCAAATTGCATAGTAAGAGAATGCAATGGTTAAGATCACCAACTTTGAAATAAGAAATATTCAAGCTTAAATTCTTTGTCATTTTATTAATTGCTTGACATAAATAAAGTTATTGAAGCTCAGTAGAAATTTTGGTTTCTTCATAAATGAGATGACGTATGCAAAGCATTTAGGGTATTACTGTATCACAGTAAGCATTCAGTTCATGGTAGTGATACTTATGTACAAAGACAATAGAGATTCCATGAATTCACAAGGAATGACTCATTCTCTTGAAATTCACCTGATTTTTTTTAAGACCTTTGTATTGTGTTTTGAAGAAAATATTTCCTAAAGTTGCAGATTTATCTGCTAACAGGAGTGAGCCTTGGAATTACAGAAGGTAAAAATGCCTATCATTTGCTGTGAAGGTGAAAAGGATGGACAGGACAGAAGCAAGAGAAAGGAGCTATTATGCAGATATATATATGTTCTTTCACATAATCACACAAAGGCAAGCATAGACAGAGACTCAAAGTGTTCCCAGATAAATTTTATGCATATTATTTTGACTATTTATTATTAACTACAATGATTTGTTATTGGATACACAATATTAAAAAGATGTATTTTGTAATATCAATAACCTAAAATGTGAGTGAAGGGGTAAGTATAGTTTCTGTATGTTATCAAAATTAAGTGTTATCGTGTTAACATGTTAGCATAGCATGTCATAACTATAATAGATTTTATGTTAACCTCATTGTAATCAGAAAAGGAAAGCCTGTAGTAGATACACAGAAGATTAAAATAAAAAGATCAAAGTATACCACCACAAGAAGTCATCAAATCAAAAAGGAAGACAGCAAGAGGAGAAGAAAGGAACAGAGAAATTGTGAAACAGTGAACAGTTAACAAAATGGCAATAGTAAGACCTTAACTATCAATAAGTACTTTAAATGTAGATGGATTAAATTCTCCAGTGAAGAAATAGAATAACTGAATGGGTTAAAAAACAAGATCCACTGGTACTGTTGCCTACAGTAGACTCACTTTAGCTTTAAGGATAAAGTGAAGGAATAGGAAAAGATATTACAAACAAATGGTAATCATAGAGAGCAGGGGTAGTAATACTTATATAAAAAATATATTATAGATGAAAAATGGTGAAAAAAGACAACAAAGTCATTAAATAATGATAAAAGATCAATTCACAACAAGATATAATGATGTCAAATATTTATGCACCTCACACTGAAGGACCTAAATATATAAAATGCAGGACTAAAAGAAGAAATAAGCAATAGTACAATAATAGAGGACTTTAATACTTGATTCACAGCAGTGGAAAAATTATAAGAAACAATTAATAAGAAGCTATATTTGAATATTTTAGACAAAATGGACCTACCAGACATATATACAACATTCCTTTGAATCACAGCAGAATACACATTCTTCTCTAGCATATACAGAAAATTCTCCAGGAAAGATCATGTGTTAGGTCACAAAACCTGTCTCAACAAATTCAAGAAGATAAATTGTATCAAGTATCTTTGCCAAACACAATGCTATGAAACTAGAAATGAATAACAGGAGTAAAATGGAAAATCATATTTTCCCATACCAATTAGCCAAAATGGGTAACCAGTATCTCTCAGACTCTCTCATCCTCTGTCCATCTCTGCCCCTCTCTGCCCCTCTCTCTCCATATTTAAATGTATTGTGCATGTATGTAA